CGTTTCAGGAACGCTCCCTGTATCTGTCCAGCTTCGCAGCTCCACTCGTTTCCCGTTGTCGTAGATGCACGCCTTCCTGCTGACCCAGTCAATCTCGGGGTTGAACCGCTTCAAGAAATCTTGCCCCAAGATGAAATCTGATCCCTTGATGTTCGTGATCGGCAACGTCGGCTTCCACCTCAGCGCCCTATGTGCAGCTGCAGTGATGCTTCGCCGTGGATGGGAAGTTTCGTACCGTCCACCATCGTTGCCGTGAACTTGGTCTCCTCCGAAGGTTCTCCAATTTTCTCCAATGTCCCGTGGTCGCACACCGAGTGAGACGCACCGCTGTCCACCAGTGCCTGGAGGCGTCGCCCGTTGCAGATCACCGCGAGTAGTAGTGGTTGTTGCTGCTCCGAGTAACCGTAGATGGTCTCGCTTATAGGATCGTAGGGTACGTCGAATAGATCATCCCTCGGTCCTGCGCTCGAAGCTGTTGACTCCATATCAGTTTTCAACTGAGTTGGGTTAGAAGGATTTATCCGAGGCCGATTCAGCTTCATCTTGGCCTGGAACCTTCCCTTAAGCCTTTGCAGCTGTGTAGGCTTCACCTGTGGGCCATTGGGAGCCTTAACGCTGTGGTGCAGGGAGAGAATATTAACTCATTGGAACGCACGACCCTTTTCAACGCTCCAGAGTGGTTTGCCCAACTTCTCAGGTACCTGAATAATGTCTAAAGGCTTTTTCTTGGCCTTGAAATCTCCCCTGAATTTTTTATTGGCTTGAAAACCTCGAGAGGTACTCTCGGGGGTGTTCGGCTGGAGTTTCCCGGTCGGTGCAGAGTCTTGTTTCGTGGAGCCTCCATTTGTCTCGGCGATTTCCCCTGTTGCCGACCGGTCGTGGCGTTTTAAATTCGCTCCATCGTGTCCTCCTTTTTTCGCCATCGTGGATGTCGCACTGTTGTTGCCCTGCAGCTCCGCTCGTGCCTTCTTCATTTTCCAACACGCCAAGAGTCGATGTCCTGCTGCGCCGCAAAATTCGCACTTCTCATATTTTGTCGGCCGCTGCTTCGCGTCGATCTTGTCCATATCCATCGGGTCGGCGGTCGTGGGTGGTGCGGATTGCTTCGTGTCGAATGATCTGTTCGGCACGTGGCGTCGTGTCTCGTGTTGATCTCGCGTCAGCGCATCGAATCTCTCTGCTGCACACACCATGTTGCGGTAGTTGTTGTAGTTCGTGGCAATCACCTGTTGGCGGACTTCCATCTTTAGCCCCTCAGTATACGCTTGGATTTTTTCCCCTTCGGTCAGGTCGGTAATTCGGTTGAAGAGGCTCTCCATCTGCTGCGTGTACTGTGTTACACTGCCGAACTGTTTATGCCGATGAATCTGCTACCGCGCCATGTAGCTGGAGTTGATTGGTTCGAAACGTTGAATTAAAGCTTCCCGAAACTGCGTCCATGACCCCTCGCCTCGGATCTCATTGCTGTTGTAAATCCACTCGAGCGCCGGGCCTCGTAACAGTGTCGCTGCGAGCCGAATCCGCATTGCATCGTGTGTCGGGGTCGTACAGCCAACGGCCTCGAAGTAAATTTCGAGGGTCGCAATGAATCGACGGACGTCGGTGTCTCTCGCATTCGGATTGAACGTCTCCGGTTGCCTCGGACGTGCCGCCTCAAGATTCACTGTAGCCACTGCCGCTGTTGCTGGGTGAAGTGTCGGTGTCGCTGCTGCTGCTGCTGGCATCGCTGCTGCATTCGCTGCTACGTTCGCTGCTGCTGTGGCGGCTACCGACTGGTTCGCGAGAAGCTCCTCTATTTGCTGGAGTGCCGCTCGCGTCTGGTCCAGGCCGGTGCGTAACTCCGTAATTTTTCGTACGGAATTATCACCATTTTCCTCCATTTGGCGATTTACAGGAAGATTTGCGACGGAAATGATTGAATTCTAGGCGCTGGTCATCTTACTGTGAGTCGAATCGACTGTAGAAACGACGAGCGCTGATTCTGTAGGTAGCGTAATTCTCCCTTAGTCGAAATTCGCGTCCGATCTCGGCTGTTGAGAAGAAATTTGATCCGACGCTCCTAGTTCCAACTTTTTTGGGCGAAATTCTCAGGGCCGTTGAGATTCGAATCGATCCGACGGTCGAAATTCCAACTTTTGCGCCACTGGACCTGAGGAGTGTTCGAAAACCGGTTCGAGGGGGACGTTAGAAAATAGCGCGGAATCGGTTTACGTACCCGAAATTGGCGCTTTCCGTCGTCGCCCCCGCGATTTTAAAGGCTAGTTTTTAGTGGTCGAAAACTTCGCGTGTAAACAGGCTCTGACGACCAAGTGTGAGGATCTAGGATCGAGCTCAGAAAAGAGAATTGTAATTGATTGATTTACTTGGATACAACATGAGGTTATATATAGTCTCGACACAAGGCCAGTTACCCAGGTGTTACGTGAATGTTCTGAGGGTCGCGAAGCGTCCCGAACAGAACCTTCCCGAACTCAGTAGAAAGCAATTCGGTGTAAACCGAATAGGCTTGAGTTCGGTACACGTAACCTGGTTCGGTGCTATAACCATAATAAAATATAGGAATGCACCTAACCTAGGAAATCAAACATATCTATGCATGATAAAATAAACCCAAGCTAGATATAGCATAATAAATTCTAGGCAAGCTATCAAAGCCAGCATAAGCCGTCGTAATCTCACAGCTTCGTAGCTGTTGTCGCTCAGATGTGGGTGAGTGAGGTTGGGGAAGCAAGCGACGGCGGCGGACAGATCTTCAGGTGACACCAAGGAGTCCTTTTTTACGAGCAGAGTGGTAACGTGATGCTTGGCCAGACGTCGCCAACGACGGCAAACCGAAGGGATGAGGAGATTTCGAGCTGCGTCTGCGACCAAAGGCGGGCTTGGTATCGGCGTTCTTATCAGAACGGTGTCCCACTCCACTTGGTCAGAAATGGTACCTGGCCAAACACTTGTGGTCGAGTTGTCCAACTGAGATTCGTGCAAAGCCGGCTGCTCAAAGGAGCGCCGAAGGATGGTAAGGAGGAGTTCGTCAGGTAGACTATGGATCGTTGGAGACTCCATGTGGGGAAATCGGGAGACTTAGAGAGACGTGCTAAGGTAAAGATCACACCCTTAGAAGGTGTCACAAGGAGAAACAGTGATCGTAAGATAATAACAAGGGCCAACTTATTAATGCTCAGCGCTGTCGAACGGTGAGCATCAAACGGAAGCGAATCAGGTGGAAAAAGCGGGGCGTGCGAAAGCGGTGGATGGGAAAGATGGACACAATGCCCGCTGCGCATGGCATGGAAGAACCCCGGGGCGTGAGTGTCGAGCGACGTCCTGTCGCCACGTGGTGCTCCGTCGAATGCCATTGCCATGCCATGCACCACCTGCTTCGAAACTGGGTTTGCCTTAAGCAGAGACTGAAATTGGTGATGGCCGAGGAATGACCCAGCTAGAAGCCACCGTCGCTGCGACGGTGAGTTGGCCCACTCACCTCACAACGCCGGGTCGCTGTGGCAGAATGCATGCGTCTTAGCCAGCAGGATGCTCGCTCACTCAGCTAGCCTTGCCTATTTCACACGTGGCTTGACAACATCGCACCTCGCAGTTCAGCTCTACATGCAGCCCGGCGACATTCGAGACGCTCACAATGCCACCTCTTCAGTTCAGATCTTGAGCTTCCAACGGGAGCAGTCTACCTCTAGTCCGTTGCTGCTACCAAGATGGGCCTGGGATGGGTTGAGAGAAATCTGCGGGTTTCTGAGGAGGCTGTCTAGGCTTTGGCAGCTGGTTGGGGTTGCCTGCGCAATAGTTTGTTCCGCAGGAGGCCTTCCGCCAACCTCGGCGATCTTCATCGCCCTTCTGTTCCTCCCTCTTCTGTGCCAGGGCTATCGCTCGACCTAGGGGGCACCCAGACAGATGTGGATGCCAAAGCACGTTTGGCTAGGCCGAACCTTGGTTTGGGAAATAGCGAGGACATCGATATTAGGGCAGCGTTGGCTGCAGATTTCATGGTGTATACATTGAATCAAATGTGAGGGATTCTGAAAGGTGGAATATTCTGCCTAATTTGTGTAATTCTTTAGTATTTTGAATATGCAAGTGCAGAAGTTGAGTTAATGGATGCCACTAGCATTATTATTTCAGCTGAAAATAAACGTTCACACTGTAGGTCGGAGTACCCCCCGCCCCCCCCAGCTGCACTGCGCTGCACTAGGTAAATAATCAAATAGAACAGACATATACAACAACATTTGAATGAGAGTAGTCTGGTGCTAAGATTCGCAAGAGCTGGTATGCTAAATACACACAACGACAGGTGCTGTAAACGACCTAAGGTGGCTTGCACAGGCGCATGCCCTTGTACAAGCGGTTGTTTGTACACACATAACCCGAATTGTATTGCGCCATTAGTCTTGACGAGCTCTTAAAGTAGAGAGCAATGATGCGCGCACATGTGTCTCCCGTCACAACCGTGTACTGCAGGTTTGTCACACATCGAGAAGCTCCGAGTAGCATACTTGATCTGCCACCACGCACACACACCTGCACACAGATCCAATGAAATGGGGGACATGAAAGAGTTGGGGAGAATGGGGGATGGGGAAAGATGGCGTGCGGGGAGGGATGGGGGTGGAGGAAAGGGAAGCTCCATTCATTTCTGATATCATGTAGCACCTCCACTGGGTATACCCTTTGGTAGACTGAAAGTGTACACTGAGCATGAATCAGCAGAAAAACGGCGACGAAAGGCAAAGAGCCCCTCCCAGAGCCCCTCCCAGATTTGCAGAGATATGGCTATGGCCACAAACGCCAGAGCTTTAAGTCCTTTTCCAGGGTAAGGGTGAAAGGCAGAGGGGATTGGGGGAAGGATGTAATCGTAACTGCTATGCACGCAACACAAGGCCAAGAGTAGTGGCAGGAGCTGTGCATGAGAAGGGCCTTTCTTGTTGGCCTAGAAGCACTTGCTCCCCAACATCGCCTCAAAAGTCGCCTCGTTACCCACAATTCTTTACCTGTTGGCCTAGCAGCATCTGTTCGCCCACGTTGCAGTTGATCCCTGGGTTCAATGTGTAGAACTCCTGTGCGCTCAGAGGGGGGCGTGCAGCCCTCATTATAGTGTCGCAGCTGTCGCCCTCCGCTACAGTCACAAACTCCTGGCACGCTGGCATATCTGGAGTGCCATGCGCCACGCACACCTGCACGGACACGAAACACAGTTCATTAATTACAAAGAGAAAGCAGCAGGCGTTAGCACAGACTCCAGGGATACTGAAAAGCAGAAGGTTATGTCGCCTTGCACCATCTAAGCTCAGTCGTACGTGCTGACCAACCTGCAGCCATCAACAATGCTGGTCGCCATTCCGCTGGAGGGGAACTGCGACAGACATGCTGTGATCTGAACCCATGCTCTCACACATGATTGATGCAGCCATGCTCTCACACATGATTGATGCAGCCATGCTCTCACACATGATTGATGCAGCCATGCTCTCACACATGAATGATACAGCCATGCTCTCACACATGAATGATGCAGCCATGCTCTCACACATGAATGATGCAGCCATGCTCTCACACATGATTGATGCAGCCATGCTCTCACACATGATTGATGCAGCCATGCTCTCACACATGATTGATGCAGCCATGCTCTCACACATGAATGATGCAGCCATGCTCTCACACATGAATGATGCAGCCATGCTCTCACACATGAATGATGCAGCCATGCTCTCACACATGAATGATGCAGCCATCTCTCACACATGAATGATGCAGCCATGCTCTCACACATGAATGATGCAGCCATGCTCTCACACATGAATGATGCAGCCATGCTCTCACACATGAATGATGCAGCCATGCTCTCACACATGAATGATGCAGCCATGCTCTCACACATGAATGATGCAGCCATGCTCTCACACATGATTGATGCAGCCATGCTCTCACACATGATTGACGCACCCATGCTCGCACATGCCTTGAGCACCCATGCTCTCACACATGCCTTGAGCACCCATGCTCTCACACATGCCTAAATCACCCATGCTCTCACATGCCTTGAGCACCCATGCTCGCACATGCCTTGAGCAACTATACTACCTACCATACATGTCTCCCAACTGTTGGCCAGGCTGCAGCATTCCACGCGGCAAGTCGTCATTCAGCTTGAGGAATTGTGAGCGAGTCATGCTGAATGCTGCTGTTATGCCCTCACACAACCCTGAACAGCCACCCTCTCACACATGCCTTGAGCCTGCCATCCCCACCTGTTGCCCCGCCTTTAGCCGTCCACACGGCAGGTCGTCGTTCAGCTTGAGGAATTCCGAGCGAGTCATGCTGAATGCTGCTGCAATGCTCTCACACGTGTCATCCTGCCATTGGTCGCACGCACAGAAGCGAATGGCGTGAGGGATCCCTAACCAGCAGAAACCAGCTGTGTCAGACTGCAGATAAAGCAAGCGTCTCCTTCTTTTTAAATCTATAAAAACTGGTTGCACGCACAGAAGCAAACGGTGAGAGGGATCCCTAACCAGCAGAAACCAGCAGTGTCGGACTGCCGATCGAGCAAGCATCTCCGCAAGCATGGCAAGGCTTGTGAGGCGCCTCAACAGGAGCAAACGGCGTGAGGGATCCCTAACCAGCATAAGGGATCAAGCGTGCATCTCTACAAGCACGGATTGAGCATTTCAGCATCAAGTATAGCTAATGCGGATCAAGTGCGGCGAACTGATGTTCTGTGGGATCACAGTAGTGATAGTATAGGGAGTAATCTTGAGCTTACGACAGTGACAGTAGAGAGAGTGGCCTTGGACTTACAGCGGTGACAGTATAGGGAGTGGCGCACAGGGTGCCATCGCTGACATAAATATCGTCTCCAATTGCAAGGCTGGAGCAGTTGAGCTTCTGGGGGTGGGGGAAAGAGAGGGGCAAACAAGAAGGGCGACTGAGGCAGGGGCAGTATAGGGAGTTCTGCACAGGGTGTCATCGCTAACGTTAATGTCATCCCCAATTGCAAGGCTTGAGCAATTGAGCTTCTGGAGATTCCATCCACACGAGGGAGCGGACAAGGAGGGTGGGGAAGGGGGGGCACACACAAGGAGGAAGACTAGACTCGTGAACAGTTGCACGGGGCTGGACAGAGGGAGAGCCGTGTTTTGAGTCGACTCAAAACACGGCTCATTCTGGGTCGACTCAAAACACGGCTCATTCTGGGTCGACTCAAAACACGGCTCATTCTGAGTCGACTCAAAACACGGCTCATTCTGAGTCGACTCAAAACACGGCTCATTCTGAGTCGACTCAAAACACGGCTCATTCTGAGTCGACTCAAAACACGGCTCATTCTGAGTCGACTCAAAACACGGCTCATTCTGAGTCGACTCAAAACACGGCTCATTCTGAGTCGACTCAAAACACGGCTCATTCTGAGTCGACTCAAAACACGGCTCATTCTGAGTCGACTCAAAACACGGCTCATTCTGAGTCGACTCAAAACACGGCTCATTCTGAGTCGACTCAAAACACGGCTCATTCTGAGTCGACTCAAAACACGGCTCATTCTGAGTCGACTCAGAACACGGGGGCACACACAAGCAGGAAGACCAGACTCATGAATGGTTGCTCGGGGCTGGACAGAGGGAGAGAGAGCAGCATCAGTACAACCACAGCTTGAGAGAGCAGTTTCACGCGGTGCGATTGTGTGATGGTGCGCGACGTGGGCGGAAGCTATGTGGTGATGGTGTTGCGAGGCACTAGTGGCGAACGCACATTGACGCGTGATGCAGGTTGATTCACCAACTAGTGGGTGAGCACCGACCATTTGATACCGGTTGAGTTCAGCCCACCGGGCTAAGCTGAGTGAAGATGGCCGCCAATCATGAGGCGCCTAAAAAATACACTAGCGGCAAAGGCACAGCGATGCCTGGTTGCGGCTTCTGAATTACCCACAGGGTTAAGCTGAGTGAAGTTGGCCTCTGACATGCCAAATGTGGACCGCACACTGTGTGATGCTCGTGCGGCAAGGCACTAGTGGCAGAGACACATTGATAAGTGGTGGCACTAGTGGGTGGCGGCTTGCTTTGAGCGCACCGGATTGAGCAGAGTGAAATTGGCCTCTGACATGCCAAATGTCGACCGCACAGTGTCACATGTCAGTCCTGGCACCACGTGGACCTCTGAGGGAGTGACACCTGGCATGGAAGGAGAGGAGGGAGGGGTGGGTCACATGAATGTAAGTAGAACCATGATCTCCAAGCCTTTGACGTGGTAACATTTTGTGCGGTGAGAAGAAACGAGCAGGAACGAGAGCAGTACCTGGCACGAGAGCAGTACCTGGCACGCAGACAGGGGTTTCATCAGGTCTCTCGTCCGTCACAAAGCCCAGCGGACACAGGAATTTGTAGCCTCCTGCGCCATCATCCAGGCCTACCTTTCCCTGGCACACACAGAGGGGTTTCTGGCCTAGCTGTACATAGTAGGGTTTTGCACGTGAGAAGAAGAAGCGAGCAGTACCCACCTGGCACGCAGACTGGGGTTTCATCGGGTCGCTCATCGGCCACAAACCCTGGTGGACACAGACAATTGTAGCCGCCCGCCCCGTCATCGAGACACGTGCCCACCTGGCATGGGTTGGCTGCTGACATGGCGCACACGTGGACTGGCAAAGGGAGGGGTGGGAGGCAAGAAAGAGAAGGCAGATGGGGAGGAAAGAAAAGGGAGAAAGAGGGGAGAGGGGAATGGGGTGGACGGGAGAATCTCGAGGAAAGAGGGTAGAGGGGAGAGGAGGCAGCGAATTTAGTGCTGTCATTCCATTAGAGGGAGAAACTGTATGCTATATTGATTTCCTTTAGTGAACACAGTTCACATGTGCATGTATATTATTGCACATATTTTGAGTGAATTTATTGCTGCCATATTGACTAAATGCACATGTGAACTGGCAAGATGGTGGGAAAGGGGAATGCATGTCTTGTTAAAACCCTGATGTCTTCCATGCGTATTGATTAAGGAGGGGGGATTGTGGTTGTTGCTACCGTCTAGCATGTCTTGCTACCGTTCTCTTCCTGCTCACCGGGAATGCATGTCTCAGACCCATCGATGTTCCTGGCAGTGCTGAACCCAGGTGCACACACACACTTGCTAGAAGAGAGTCAGGGGCAGAGAGGCGGGATTTGTGGGTTGTGTTACCTAACGTACACTTTTCTTTCTGCTCACCCGGAATGCATGTCTCGGACCCATCAATATTCTTGGCAGTGGTGAACCCAGGCGCACACGTGCACTTGCTCTTCCCCGCGCGGTTGCTGCACTTGCCGCTGCCACACGGGTTGATGGGTTGACACGGGTGCGAGCCTGCTACCACTGGGTATAAGGCAGGAGTGGTGTTGATGCCGCAGATGCCGTTGCCTGTGTGTGGGGGTTGGGGGGGGTGGAGGGAGGGACAAACTTTGAGGCGCCTCAGGCCTTGCCGCTTCCACACGAATTGATGCGCTGACAGGGTGTGATTCACAGGCAGGACTGCTGTTGATGCCACATATGCCATCGCCTCTGTGTGGAGGGTGGGGGGGAGTGGAGAGATGGATAGGGATAAGGTATGGGCAATGAAAGTTGGGTGGTGCTTGTGGGGTCTTTCAGGTGGTAGGGGTGACTGGACTGGACCTCAGTCTGGCCTAGCAAAACTTTTATGAAAAAAAGTTCAGATTATGAGAGAGTTTTTCTTCATCATGCCTTGCAACACACACCACTGACAACAACCCCCGGATATGACAGGGAATCACTTGGGCTATTTTGTGTCCATTTTCTTCAATGCGAGAACTTACTAATGCAACCAGAGGAGACGAGCACCTGCTTCAATAGCCATTTGCATGAGACCGCCCTTGCCCCAGGTGGATCCCCAGGTGTTCAAAGAAGCAAAGTATACGTCGCTTCGTTTTGTTCTACACAATAAATAACCACAAAAACCAGAGGAAAAAGGTACCTGCTTCGATGGCCATCTGCATGAAGCCGCCCTCGCCCCAGGTGGATCCCCAGGTGTTTTGGAGGATAAAGTAGGGCGTCACTCCCACCGTGCTGTACCCCACCAGCAGCACTATGTGATTCACCACTCCATTCGCGAAGCAATCTGGATCCGCGTAAACGAAGCCCTGAAGGGTGTGGAGTTGAAGAGGAGCGAGATAAGAAGGCCGTACCAACATAAAGTTTCTAAAGTCGACTCCAACGCAATCTGGATCCACGCAAACGAAGCCCTGAAGAGTGTGGAGTTGAAGGAGGGCGAGAGCAAAAAGAGGTCTGATCGACACAATGAACCCCTGGAAACATCTTACGTCCAAAGGTCTTACGATTATTTAGGCTCCTAAAAAAAACTGATCAACACAATGAACCCCTGGGAACATTTTACTTCAAAAGGTCTTACGACTAAAACTGCCTTGATTGTTTTCCCCACTCGTTACGTTTACCTTCCCCGCACGATGCTACCCTCCTGTTCTTCCCCATGCATAGTCTGTTCTTTCTGATGTGGTAGCTCGTGATGAGCATCATCCCTGCACGATGCTAACCCCGTCCTTCACACACTAGTACATTCTGGACAGCTCTAAAGATATTGCACCACTTACAACTTGTCCTCGCTCAATCGCTTACAACTTCGCCACTAACTCACCACCTGGTAGTTGACAGGGGAGAGCTGTTCTGCCTCCTCGTTGACTTTTGAGTCGACTCAAAAGACAACTTATTCCTCTCTCAGTTCAAAGTATTGAGACAACTCACCCCCTGGTAGTTGATAAAGGAGAGTTGATCCGCCTCCACGTTGGCAATGATTGGCTGCGCCTGCAGCGCCAGCACCATTCCCAGCCAACCGGGGATCGACACCTGTCACTCACAGTGGCAGCACACGAAGAGGCACCGGAGCAGCACAGGTAAGTGAGGAGATGTGTGATGAAACACTACAGATGGGTCGAGTGCGGTGACAGGGGGTTCAAATCTATTGACCCACGTCTACAAGTTTATCGAGCGCACCTGTTCGAACATGGAGATGGAGAAGCGGCCAGAGAGGGGGTGGATGCCAGGCGGTTGAGGTGGAAAGGCAGGGGGAGGAGGGGAGGAGGACGGGGGAACCGAGGTGGTGGGGGGCAGCTTGGGCGGCTGGGTTGGTCTTCGGAGCCGGTGGAAGAGTTGGGAGAAGAGGGAGGAGAGGGAGGGGGAGAAGTGCGTGTGCTTGTCGTCGTCGTCTTCATTCTTCGTAATTGGAGTTGAGGCTGCTGGCGTTCGGCCTGCTGACGTGGATGCTGACATGGATGCTGATGTGGGCACCGCACGCGCAGCTGCCGCCCGAACCATAGCCTGCCGGCCTCTGCCAGCAGCAACAGGTTTGAAAGGTGACCGCACTCCCCTCGTTCGTGATTTGGCAGGCCTGGCAGGAGGTCCGGCAGCAGGCTTGGAAGCTGATGTTGCAACCTTGATGGCTTGCGCTGCAGCCTTCTTACTCTGCAGCTTCCATGGCCCGGAAGCTGGCCCGGTGGGAGGTGCGGATAGAGCCTTGGTGGGAGGTTTGGTGGTAGGCTTGACAGCTGCAGGTTGTGGTTTGGACTCACGTGAGTTGCGCTTGGCAGCAGCTGCAGGCTTCGAACTTGCTGGGAGAAGCTGAAGGGGGAGGGACGGGCAGGAGAAAGAGGGCAAGGAGAGGCCAAAGGCAGGTGGCTCCTCATTTCCTCTCTAAGCAGGAAGCAAATTTCCGTAATCAATGCTTTCAGAGAGTGCCCAGGAGGACCAACATTAACTTGCACACACATGCCCACCTTGCAGTCACTCGCGTTCACCACTCCCGAATACGGCACTGCTTTCTCCGGCGATACCCCTCCCACAGCAGCCACAAACTGGAACGCGTCCGCCGGGATGCCACCTGTGCACTGCCACGTGCCCTGACAGCTCAGCACCTGTTGACTGGACAGGTTGGGATGGTTGGCGCCGTATGCTATTGCATAGGCTGCCTCTATTGCTGCTACCGGCACCAGAGCCCAGCAGGCAGCTGATTGGGGGAGGGGTGCGGGTTGGAGAGGGGAGTGGATATACTGAAGAGAAAGAACGGCGGAATAGTTAGCATGCACGCGTAGGAGCGCATTCAATTGATGCCATTGCTTCCTTTAAACCGCTTCATTGCATCTTAAGTCACCAGCACCAGAGCTACACCATTTGTATCCTTTCTTGGCTATTCACACCGTCCACTCCTTCACTGCTCATCTACCCTTCCCCACCACCCAACTCCCCATCACTCTCACCACCCGAACCTCACCACTCACCTCCCCTCCTTCATCGCCCACCTCCCCTCCTTCACCACTCACCTCCCCTCTTTCACTCACCACTCACCGCACAAGCCCTGGACTTCCATCAAAACGTTCTAAAGTGACTCAAACTACCCAAACCAGAGGTGCACCATTCACATCACATTCTAGCTATTCAAACCCGGTGACCCCTCCCTCACCACTCACCGCACAAGCCTTGGTCTTTTCACAAGAGACACCACCGTCACGTTGCGCCCGTGCACCGTGCACGAGCACCACCCCCCGCCAGTCCACCGCCTCTCGGCACTCCCAAGGGGGCTGCGCGGCCGTGCCGTTGAACCCCAGGCTGACGTGCTTCCATCAATCCGTTTCAAGCGACTCGCACCACCGCCACCAGAGCCGTCACACCCCATTCTAGCAATTGACACACTCGCATTCGCTCCCTCACCACTCACCGCACAAGCCTTGGTCTTTCACCGGAGGAACCACCGTCACATTCCTCCCTCGTACTAGCACCAGCCCGCGCCAGTCTACCGCCTCTCTGCATGCCCAAGAGGGTTGGGCAGCAGTGCCGTTGAACCCCAGGCTGACGTGGCGGAAGAAGCGGTTAAAGCGCGAGGGGGTGGTTGCCGGCACGGCCTTGAAGTCCCGGTCCCTCAACCCCGGCCGGTGGCGCTGCTTCTGTGGGTCGTCTGCATGAGGAGAAAGGCGAGATGGGGAGAAAGAAAGGGAGCTGACACCTGAGTCAGTTTGATCGTGATAAGGGGTGGTTGCACGCATGGCCTTCAAGTCCCTGTCGCTGAACCCGGTGTTGTGGCATGGCACTCCTTGAGTGGGATGTCTGAGCGGAGGGAACAGGAGAGATGGGGAGCAGGGAAAGTCACACACAAACACAGACACACTCGCACACACACGCACACAGACGCACACACAGACTCACACGCGCACACAAACACACACACACACACACACACACACGCACGCACGCATGCACGCACGCACCCACCCACACCCACACACACACACACACGCGCGCGCGCGCGCACACACACACACACACACGCACGCACGTACGCACGAAAGCACGCACGCACGCACGCACACACACACACACACACACACACACACACACACACACAGGGACACACATCACGGCTTACCTCCATCCAATGGTATGTCTGGTGGAAAGGGAGGAGGCGGATTCTCAGGCTTGGTCGCCGAACAAGTAGGGTAACCACCCCCTTTTGACTCCACCGTATCCTCATAATACCCCTCCTCACACTCACACACGGGCACTCTTGAGGGCCCCTTGAGAAAGCACCTCCCGTGCCCTCCACACACTCCTTGGACACTACCTACCCCACAAAACGCCAAACACCCCCCCTGCTTCCGCTGCCTCCCGTCCCCCTCGCACCCCCCCCCTCCTCTCGGGTTGAGGCAGTTTCCTCGCACTGAACCGTACTGAGACGGGCTATAAGGGAGCAGATTCGCTGCTGCGAACCCTCCCTGCTGGTCCTCCGGGCAGAAGGAAAGCTTTCCAGCCGAGATTTCGGCACGGGCAGACCCTGTGAAGAAGTTTTTTTCGACGTTGAAAGTGGCGAGAGGGTGAGAGGCGAGGGAGGGGGAAGCCAAACCCGAAGGGAGGGGACCAGCGAACTCGTTATTGGATATGTCCCTGTTAGGGAAATGCGGGCAAGGGAGGGGTGGGGAGGAGCTGTTTTTTTTTTCGGATTTCCCAAAACCAAAACCAGCGAACTCATTGTTTGATTGCATATGTCCCTGTGAGGGGGAACGGGAAAGGGAGGGACGTGATATTGTTTCGAAGCAACTCGTTACTGGATATGTTCGTGCGAGGGGTAAACGGAGGGAAGGGAGGCTGGAAACGGGAGTTGTGATGGCTGGAGCAGGACCGATGAATAGAACTGGAGGCAGTTTGGGGGAGAGAGGAGGTGGAGGGAGAGGAGAAGGTTGAGGAGGGGACGGAACCCAATAGGTCAGTCATTGTTGAAAACGTCATTGTGAGGGTTACAGTGGGGGAGAGGGGTGGGGTGGAAGGGAGGGAGGGTGGGGGTGGGGGGTGGGGTTGGTTAAAGGGTTTGCAGAAATTCGTTGAGGTGGCCTTGAGGCAGATTGTCAGTTGTTGAAAAACGGGTGTTTTTTTAGAAAACCTTCCTATTTGAGAATCCGAACGACTGTAGTCTGTAGGCATTCGAGAACAACCATGCGAGCGCCATCCGCAGCCCACCTGTCTTCTACTGACAGCTCCTGCACCGTCCGCGCAAAGAGCATTGTGAACCGAGTGCAAGGTAGCACACGAGGCGAACAAGAGAGAACGAAGTAAGCCTATCCAGGGTTTCGACGAGAATCTCAGCCCAACGTACAAGTAGACAAGAGTGGGCAGGTTGAAAAGTGATGGCGGCAGGTCGCCCGAAAGGCGATTCATGCTCAAGTCCCTGGAAGTGGGGGAGATGCACAGACGGATGGAGAGCCGTGCTGTGTGAGCGGAGCGGGGAGGCAGTGTTGGTGGAGCAGCTGTGAGGGAAGGAGGGAGTGCCTGTGAGGGAAGGAAGGAGTGCCTGTGAGGGAAGGAAGGAGTGCCTGTGAGGGAAGGAAGGAGTGCCTGTGAGGGAAGGAAGGAGTGCCTGTGAGGGAAGGAAGGTAGTGCAAGTGGAGCAGCTGTGACGGAAGGAAGGAGTGCCTGCCAGCGGTCGCTGGGAAAGATTGATGGCTGCTGGTGCAAGGCAAAGGGACAAGAGTTAGGCGGGTGTGCGAGTTTGAGTCAGGGGATGCAAGGAAGCGAGCAGGCAGGGATAGCCTGTGCAGGAAATTAAAAGAAGCAAGCAGGTGGGGTTTGGAAGCCAAAGAAGAAGCGCCACCGATGCCGCATGGTACACACACAAATGCCTGAACGAAGAACATGCACTCAACATGTCTATCAGCCACACCACACCTCCTCTCCACCACCACATTACTGAACAATCCTGTCAATGGTTTACCACTCACTCTGTAATACACATGGTACCACGCGGTTTAAGACATTCCCTGCTAGGCACCCCACTTACAGCGCCTCAAGAGTTGTGATGCTCCCCAGCCCAGCTGGGATTGTCTCCGACAGCTCGTTGTCACTCAGAAGGCTGCGGTACAAATGCATACGGGCACAACTCAGTCCTTAAGGTATGGTCACAGTGAGTCCACCTTTGACCGTACTGCCGCAACAGACGCAGCACCAGAAATCGTCAATGCACATGCATACACATGTACACCTTAACACTACATGTGTCTGCAAGGACACGGGCGCACACACTAACGAGTACTTGATGATAAGAAGGTAGGGGTGTCTCAAAAGCAGAACAAGTGCACTTTACGCCTCACCAGAAAATAGGACTCACAGGTACTTGAGGGCTTGGAGGTTGGAGAGCGGGGCGGGAATGGGTCCTGACAGCTCATTTCTGCCCAGAGACCTGACAGGGGTTGGGGTTCGGGTTTTGGGTTTCCGGTTTAGGGTTCGAGGTTTAGGCTTTCGGGTTTGGAGTTCGGAATTTAAGTTTTGAGGTCTGAAATGAGGTTTAGTGTTTCGGGTTTCAGGTTTAAGGTTTCGAGGTAGGGTTTAGCAGGGTCCTCAAAAAGCTTTTGTTAAGAACACATGCGGCCTCACATGCTGTACAATACATAGTTGTCAAGCATTGTATTGGTCGTTTTTGCATCATGCTTACCATAGGGTTAGTTGGGTCAGATTCCCTATAGCATCCAGGAGAGCCCTCTACACGTGGAGCCTCACTCACATGTTGGATGTCAGTTGGTCCTAGGGTTTACAGCAGGGCCTCACATGTTATCATGTCATGCTTACAGCAGGGTTAGTTGGGTCAGGTTCCCTATAGCATTGAGCAGGGAGCCCTCTAACGAGTTATCGTTGAGCTTTCTGAAGAAGAAGGGAGGAGGGAATGGAAAGAAGGAAGGTGGAGGGGGGGGAGGGGGGGGGGGGGGGGGGGGGGGTTGATGTTGAGAGGAATTGGAGAAGTAAAAATCGTTTGGCACTTGGAAGATTAGCAGACAAAAAGAAAGGAGAACGAGACAAAGCGGTGGGAGAAAGTTGCACTCTGGAAGTTGTGATTCACGCTATGTGGTGGAACGAGGCGATGTGAGCAAGTAATGAAGGGAACCCCTCAGACGAGTCAGACTTGCCGCGGTCACTGCGAGCGATCTCGTCCCGCATGGGGCCACGTGGCGTACGCGTGGCCCCATGCGGAACGAGCGCATCAGCATTCGCTGTGGATGTGCGTGAGCGAGACCCACAGACCCACAGTTGTTGAAGCGACGTGAGCGTGAAGAGCGCGGACGGAAGCGACCCTTCCAGATTCCCGTTGCTGAGGTCCCTGTGGGGAGTTGGGGGCAGGGGCGAGGGATATGAAGGCTATTTTGAGTCGACTCAAAGTCATCTTGTCGAAGCGACATGAGCGTGAAGAGCGCGGACGGCAGAGACCCTTCCAGATCCGTGCTGCTGAGGTCACTGTGGGGGGAGCGGGAAGATGGCGGGGCGTTGGTGATTTGCGTCGACTCAAAGTCAACGGACGGCAGTCAACGGACGGCAGTCAACGGACGACAGTCAACGGAGCGGGGAGTGGCGGTTTGGGGAGCGGGGAGACGGCGAATCAGGAAGTGGGGAGACGGCGGATTGGGGAGCGGGGAGATGGCGGATTGGGGAGCGGGGAGTGGCGGATGAGGGAGCAGGGCGACGGCGGATCAGGGAACGGGAGGTGGCGGTGAGCGGGGAGATGGCGGATGAGGGAGCAGGGAGAGTTGAATGACAAATGAGGTAACGCAGTTGAGTGAGAAAAACGAGGGGATAAAGTCAATCCCCCTTGCGTTATAGCTTCCCCGTTTTGTTGAAATATTGCGCGTTGCAATAGCTGGCTGAAAACTCACACGGTTGTAACAAACCCCTCCTTATCGCACGACACGCCACTCCACTTCGAGCAGTCCCAGCCATCCTGCCACGTGGCAGTGGTAACAGAGTGCCACGTGGCGGCGATTGATTGGAGCGCGGGCACTGTCCTCCAGGCGGCGGCATGGGAGGGCGGTGCAGAAGGGGAGTGGGGGGTCGCGGAGAAGGAGATTGGGGGGTGGGGGAAGTGGGTGAGGGGGGTAAGTTACGCAAAGGGCCCGTGTACCCCAAGGTTCACAATGGGGATACCCCAGTGAGCGTTACCCCTAGGACTCCGATTCTCTTTTGACAAATGTGAATGGGAGGGCGGAGACAGTTTGAAAGGGGAAGGGATGTAGGAGAGGAACAGGCATGCGTGGGAGGAGGGCGGAAGAAGCCGCAGCGCGCGGAGAAGGGCGGAGAGGAGGGGAGTGGAGGCAAGGAGCAGAGAAATCTTACGTTGCGACTCGTGCACCAGTTGAGCCGACACTATATGGTACCTCCCCCCGCAGGCTGCCACTGCTACCGTCATCGAAACCAGCAGGCGCAACAGGCGATCGAGCCAGTTCGTCAAACTCCATTTACTCGAGACCCCCCTCGATTTGACCCCATCCGCGAAGGTCCTCATTCTGACCAGAGCCTGCAACTGCCTCGATCCCCGTTGCTGATCCGCGAGTGTCGTCGGAAGTCGCGCCCAAAGGCACGGCCGGGGACGCGGCAAGAGGAACGGCGAGGGAGGCGGTGTCCGCGTCGCGCTTTCTACCGCGCCGAAGAGTCTGGGTGAGCGGCGGTGCTGGCGCCATGCTGCATTCGGCGATCGTCTCGGCGACAATTTTCCAGGATGTAACCCTTTTGCCTGTTTCGCCAAGAATTTGCTGACGTCTTTTACAGCATGGTGGCCACGACGACACTTTTCTGCCATAAAGCTCTACCTGCACAGGTCGACGTGATCAGGCGTACACCAATGGCTCGCTAGCGTATCTCTCGCCAAGCGAGTGTTCGCCGCTAGTAAGGTATCATCATGTTACTAGTATGTTGCTTTGCTGTACAAGCCGCGGGAACGAAGTGCTGCTCTCCGAGCGGCAGACTCCGAGTCTACGACAAAGCGTTGCAAACCCAATGCGCCTCCAAGAGTTCCATATTACTCGCTCCTAAGCGGCTATTATAATCTCGTCGCCGCTTCTGCTCGCACCGTCCAGCCGACGTCGCGTTCGAGCGGCAAAGCTATTTCACTAAAGGAAAGTTTGTAGGAAGCTATTTCGCTTCTGCTGAAGGAGAGTATGTAGTGCTAACGCTGAAACAACAATCGAAATCAAGATAGGTATGTCGGAGGGTCCTTCACTACTTACCGCGCGTCGTCACAGTGCTACAGAACGACTCGTTCTAGGAGATAGGCAGATTAGGCGGTTGGCGCTCCGCGAATGGCTATGGTGCCCGACAGGGCGGATAATGAAGCTTGCCTCAGCGATTGCTGGTAAACGGCGACAACCAGCTGTTAAACGAGTCTGGTCAACGCTTTTCGGAGGGCAGTATTGGAACCAGATGGGCAAGTGAACAGCGACCTGACTGGTCAACGACACTAAAATGCATTGTTCGGTCCACTTTCGTAGAAACGAGGGTCTGCTGCTCAGTGTAATGCAGGAGGGGCTTTGCTATGCCAAGGCCTGTGCCTCGGCCCGCGAAGCCGTTTATAGACGATGACGGAACGGAGCGCGTGGCCTTACTTGTTTATGCTCGTCTGTCAGGGAGGAGCGTGAAGTCGAGCAGGCTCACATCCACTGCCCGTTTGCAATTGTGATTGGCAAGGAGACCAGTTTGGTTCGGACATCAGACTGTGGGTTCGCGAGATTCAAATGTCGGTGGATTGCGCGGTGCGGTATTTCTGACGAGGCGTCTGGCACAAACATTGCGACGCGCTGGAATTAGCGGAATCTTCAACGCCCAAGTCAAGATCGGTTTCGTTTGGTTCTATGGGGTTTGGTTCAAGTATTTCTCCACTTCCTTCGTCACAGCTCACGAAAGCAGCTCACTGTACAACTGGGTATCCTGTAACAAACGACTCCGCGTATCTTTCGCTGTCCACTCCACTCCACACCATTCGATATGGATGGTCATTGGTGGAGCGAGTGGCGGGAGATTGCATTATTGCATCTCCAGATTCTTCCTGTCGATAGTTGCTTATAGCTGCGGTCTACATACACCCTAGGACGCATGCTGATTGGGGAACGAAATGACTCTTTTCCAGAAATGAGCGCGCGAATGTTTCAAACAGAACTGGCGAATCCCGCCAGTTTCGTGAAAGGTTCTGTTGGGGGGTAATTATTTCGGGAGGGTTGGGTTGTGTTGGCGATTTCGCCAACACGTGCAACCAATCCGAGTTGGGGAGCAGAATGGCGCGAAATTTAGAAGCCAATCCTGTTTCGTCCAATTTTCAGATGAAAGGTTGTGCTGTCAGGGTGCAGTAACTCCACCTCGCCACTCAAGGTTGGAGCGAAGCTCAGTGCAACCGTGTTTTCAAGTGATAAACCTAGGCCTCCCGCAGGAGGTATGTAGGCGACAACTTTATATCCTAAGCCCTCGTCAGATATTGCCTTTCTCCTAGGCCGGCGTTGAATTATCGCCTTTCCAGCGTATGGGAAGGGAGGGTTGCAAATTACGCGTACAGACGCCGTTACTGACTGGTTGACGAGCCATTCACCTCACTGGTCGACTCCTCCTCGAACTTCCTCTTAGGCTTGAATTCCCGTACACGTATGAAAACGATTTCTCGTGACATTCCCCTATGCACCCCAATGGATAGTATGGATCCTCGGGTAGAGCGATTGGCGGGAGGATTGCATTTTCGCAACTCCAGATTCAGGCGGATTATGCGCGTATTTGAATCATTGCCTCCTATAAGATGCGAGTGATTTATTGCTAATTCGCGATGTGTGAATTATCTGTACTAGTCAACCACTGGCTGACGACCAGTGGTGTAACACGGGCTTATATGAAAACGCCCTTAAAATCGCAATAAAGACCCGGGCTTATAAAAGAATGCCCACAAAAGGGTCAATAGTAGGCTTATAAACTGCCAAGAACACACACATACAATAGAGACTAGTCCCAAAAGTAGTCTTGACTCTTGAAGACTTAATAGGTGAAGCCTTGGAAGTGAAAGGGGTAGCTTCACCAAGAGGGTGATTGATGCTTGGAGCACTTGTGAGGGAGAAGTCTTGGACTTAGAGAGAAAATCCCATTTCCAAAATTGATCAATTGGAGTTGGGAATGAGACAATGGGCCTTGGAGCTCCAAACCCCTTCCTCAATGCCCCTTGGGGAGCTCCACCTCCTCCATGGCAACAACGGCAAGGAGCTCCTTAAGGTGAGTTTGCTTAGGTGGCATGTTGGTTGGATTTGCAACCAATGAGAGCAACTTATTTGTGATAAGAATTGTCTGGTTACCTGTTGTAACTTGTAACAGCAACATTGAAATGTTATTGGTTTGAATTTCCACCAATGTGAAGGTTGGGTTGGTTCCCAACCTTGTTTGTCTTTTAGTGGGTGGTGATTCACAATTTGTGGACCAATCAACAATCATCCCTTCCAACCCTTTCTTCCCGTAAGTCGTTACCTTGCGTAGGTAGCGCTTTAGAGAGCCTTAGCTAGGATAGTTGTTAGGGTAGGTAGGTGATGCGTTACACTCCTCCCCCTCCAGCTGGCAACGTCCCCGTTGCCTTGGAGTGCTTCTTGGGGCGAGTGCTACGAGCACGACGCACCACATTACGGCCAGGGTCAACACCATCCACTGGTTGTGGGGCTGCTCGAAGAGCCAAGTCTTCCATGTAAGCTTGAACTGCTGTTTCAGTCAAGTGTTCTTCTGGCTTTCAGGAATTGTGTTCAGGCCCGTAGCCTTTCCACTTAATGAGGAACTCACGTCTTGTTTTACGGCCGCGTTGTCGATCACGGTGCATCAGCACACGCTCGACCTCATAATATAGTTCCTCACCCAAGACGATGGTTGGTGGTGGTTGGTACGTGCCTTCGGGAACATACTTGTTTAACAGAGACACGTGGAAGACGTTGTGAATCCGCAAGGTGCCTGGTAGCTTAAGCTTATAAGCCACCGCCCCAACCCGCTTGATAACCTCGAATGGCCCAATCCAACAAGGAAGCAGGTTTCGCGCCCCAGGTAATTTGAGTCGAATATTTTTCGTACTCAACAAAACTTTGTCTCCCTCTTGAAAAGAGATGTCCCGGCGTTTCATGTCGGCATAAGACTTTTGGCGTTGTTGGGCAAGTTGCAACCAACGACGAGCAGACTTAAGCGCTTCTTGCTGCTTGCCAATAAAGTCCTTAGCGGCTGGAATTTTCAAGCCACTGACCCCATGCGTAGCAGGTGTTGTGGGGTGCCGACCACAATTTAAGATAAAGGGTTTTTTCGTGGGTGCTTTCATGCACAGAGTTGTTGACAGCAAATTCCACGACTGGCAACAGCTCATCCCAATCATCTTGTGTTGGGCCAATAAACGAACGAAGCATTTGTTAAAGAGTGCGATTTGTGCGTTCGGTCTGCCCATCCGTTTAAGGGTGGAATGCAGACGACATTTTCAGCTTCCTCCCTAGTGTCCGAATGATCTCCTGCCAAAAACGGCTTGTAAAACGATGGTCTCGGTCAGACACTAGCACACGAGGCTAACCATGTAAACAGAAAACATGTGCAATAAACAACTTAGCCGTATCTTCTGCTGATACGTCCGTGGTTGTAGGCACGAAGTGCACCATCTTGGTCAAGCGATCCACGAAGACGAGGATTGCTGTATGACCATCTCGTGTTTTAGGGAGATCAGTGATGAAATCCATTGATACGCTCTCCCAAGGTTCGTCAGGGATTTCGAGTGGTTGAAGCAAACCACCGGGTTTTTGTGTACTCGGTTTGTTACGTGCAAACGTGTCGCAGCGTGTAACAAACTGCTGGACTTCATTGCCCAACCCTGGCCACCAGTATACGTCAAACAATGCCCATCGAGTTTTCTAAACTCCGAGGTGTCCACTGTATTTACTAGCATGCACTTCTTGTAGAATGTCATTTCGTAGGTTCCCCACATGTGGTACTACAATTTCTTTTCCATGCCACCAGAGCTCATG